ATACGGAGGCGAATTAATACTTGATACGGATGCTAGTTCCTCGGCTATTGGAGCAGTTTTATCACAAGTAGCTTGAGATGGACACGAAAGGGTCATTGCGTATGCTAGTCGACGACTAGATAAGAGTGAAGCACGATATTCTACAACACGTCGGGAGATGTTAGCAGTCGTAAAATTCTTACAACATTTCCACCATTATCTGTTGGGCAAACTTTTTCGTGTGCGCACGGATCACCGTGCACTACAGTGGCTCCGCTCTTTCCGCGAACCAGAAGGGCAAGTGGCACGCTGGCAGGAACGACTATAAGAGTTCGATTTCACATGCGATTATCGACCAGGAAATCGACATGCAAACGCGGATGCCCTCTCCCGAATACCCCATAACACAGATATTATTAACGCAATTCTTAGTACAGCTCCAGAGACAGACTGGCCCTTCCTACAAGCAACAGATCCAGACTTACAGATTGTTTATCAAAGACAGTTTCATGGAAATAGTAAGCCATCCATGAGGGAGCTTAAAGATCAACCCGTAACAACTCGTCGTATTTGCACCAAGTGGGGCAACCTCAAACTATATGTTGACACATTATTCCTAATGAATGAATCAAAACAACCCCTACTGATAGTACCGCGAGTGAAAGTTGAGAGCATTGTGGAACAGGTACACCGCGAACTTGGTCATGCGGAAGAACGGAGAACTGAACACGCTGTCCGTCAACGCTTTTGGTGGCCATCCATACACGAAGATGTAGCTCAGTTTTGCGAGAATTGTAACACGTACTGCCGTTTTAAATCGCCTCAGCAGACACCCCGTGCACCAATGACGCCGATGGTAACGACAGGACCACACCAGCGAGTTGGCATAAACATCATGGGACCACTGTCTACGAAAAAAAACGGGAACCGCTACATCTTGGTTATGGTGGATTATTTCACTAAATGGCGCGAAGCTGTACCCCTTCCACAGCAAGACGCCCTTACTGTTGCCCGAGCTTTCATCGATCATTGGGTCTCCCGTTATGGTGCCCCTGTCTCACTCCACTCCGACCAAGGTCCATCCTTTGAAAGCCACCTCATTACTGAGATATGCCGGCTATTAGGAATCAAGAAGACACACACCATTGCGTATCACCCAGAAGGTAACGGTCTCGTGGAAAGAACAAACAGAACTATTAAAGCCATCTTGCAGTCGTTTGTAAGCGGATCGTCACCTGAATTATGGGATGAGGTGCTCCCCCATTGCCTTTTAGCATACCGTACGTCGGTACATGAATCCACGGGATTCTCGCCTTCTATTTTGCTGTTTGGGCACGAATTACGAATACCAGTAGAGATACAGTCACCCCTGCTGCCCTACGAAGAACAAGAGCATGTTCCGTACATACATACTCTTCGCAACCGACTAGCTGATGCATACCGTCTGGTCAACATTAACTTATGCAAGGCTAGTGGACACCAAAAAGATATATATGATCGTCAAGCACAAGGGCCTAGGTATACAATTGGAGATCGCGTCTGGTTACGCCGCCCAATGACATCGCTAGAAAGTTGCAGTAAATTCCATCAGCCCTGGCAAGGCCCCTTTGAAATTGTCTTCATCCGATCGCCCACCACGTTTGTATTGCGTAACATACAATGGCCTAAAGACGACGTGCACTACAACCAGATAAAACCCGATCGGACGACATTTCCCTTCGATGATCAACTCGCTGATCCACCGCCGGCCACTAGATTTTACGAAGTACCATCTGAAGGAGGGACAGCATAACCGTGCTCAAGATCAGGCACTGAGGACAGTGCCTCATTTGGAGAAGGGGCGATGTAACGGGATTAGAATCATCATGTATGATGTTAATAGATTTTGTTTTCTTTCAATTGCATGGCAAGCAAGAATAAACGCTTTAGAAGAAGAAGAGCAAGCCCTGCACGCACTAAACTTACAGGACGACTCATAAGACCGTTTTGTAAACTAGCTCTCTTTCTGTACAGAACCCGCGAATTTTAATTTTAAAATAAACGACTGTTGGTCTCCGTTCCACGTTCTCTCTGTGGTGTGAAGTGTTCAGTTAACATTGTGTGTGTTGTGGCTTTAGGTCTTCCCGCCTTTCAGTGACTGCTGATTACACGTGTTACAGTATCCACTTTATTTTCTTGGTTTTGGATAACATCATTTTACTCTATACTAACTGTTTGTTGATTGGCTAATATTTCTCAAGGTCACTTAAGGTTCGTTCAAAGGTCGTCCATAAGTTAGAGTCTCGCCGTTTTCCTTGACGATGTTATTGCATCCCATCTGATAATACGTTATCTTATGAACCTGAACAAGTTTTCAACAAAAGCGATGAAGCTCTGCAGAGCTATTGGTTTCCAACATCACGTTTTAAAGCAACAATCAAGCCAAAGTGTAGGGTTTATAGGAGAAAAATGTCAGTTAATCTTCTCTGAAATGATTATATGGTTTTAACACGACGATAGACTACCTTGATATGAAATGTAAAAACCACGCAACCCAACCAACTCTGAACCAAACCGCATCACTTCAATTACGTAGCAGACACCTCATAACAGGCCGTTAATGGTCATTGAAACGAAATGGAGAGTGTTTTCGTGAGAAACTAACGTTCTTACCGTGCTCAAACGCGTATGAATTTAGTGAAAACTAGTAAAATTTAAGTGCTGAGAAATTGGGTAGAAGGAGAATTAATGTAGAAAAAGTTCTGTTATGTGATTAGTGTGAAAATAGTAAAACTGGGATTGTATGTCTCATTTAGATGTTAAATAATTTCAGATTGTCAGTTTAAAATACTTCTCACAAGTCATGGAAACTGAGTTGACCATAAAAGTTTATCTCAAATTACTATTGTCGCAACAACTTACGGAATTTTGATTGTAAACTTGCAAACATTTACATATTGTTCCACATCCTCTCTCTCTCTCTCTCTCTCTCTCTCTATATATATATATATATATATATATATATATATATATATATATATCTTTAGGTCTAAAGTACTGCAATAATATAAACAATTACTATGGTCTGGGTTTATACAAGTAATAAGTGAGGGCTCAAAGAAAAATACAAACTAAATCATCTGTCTTAACCTGAGCTTCTGGTGAAATATCTACTCCTATTATTCCTAAACTTTCATGGGATGTTATTTCTCTGAAAAAATTATGACAATGATAAGGCGAAAAAGGTCATATCTATCGAAAAGCTTGTAAATTTTATATCTTGTACTCAATTATTTGATCCTGTCAAAATGTCGATTTCAGAAAGGTTACAGTTCGTTTCTTATAAGTTGTATGATTGGTATGAGCTAGGTCGCAAAACATGAGTCACACAAATACAGACAAACATCAACCACGACCCATCAAACGAAATTTATATCACATAAATATTTAATTTGATAATAAACAATCAAAGGATTAGAGGAAAATTATACTTCATAGATTATATAGGTGTTTAATCGACATGATACTATTAAAGTTTGACGCCAACACTTTAGTTAAAGGAATATTCCCAAACAAGGTTAAGTACATGTTCGTCAACTTACACAAGTATAAAACATAAGCGGTGTATTAAAAATCAGGAACAAAAACAAGACTAGGCACTTACATTAGACATTCACAATACACATACAATACCTAAGAATGAATAGTGAGAAATACTTTTAAACCGACCATTTCTGTCCATCAAGGTTAAAAACAGTAAATTTAAAGCAAGAAAAAAAAAGATCATTTGGCTGGAATACGTTTTCCATTCGTACAATATATGTGAGTTCCATAGGGTATTGGAATAAATAAAACAAACCAATACGAAAACAAAATATCGAAGGTTTACAGCCAATATGGGTTGGAAAATATTCCATAAAATGGTGTCAATGAAATCTGCTGTTTTCCTTCATTACAAGAAAGTCATATTATAGCCAGCGTTGCAAACAGAACTACAATTTTCTAATTGGTGTAATTGAGAACAAAAGAAGAATATATCTTGTAGCGTATATTGCTAAACGTGACTGTGTTACGAAATATTCAAAAAGTCATAGGAAATATGAAAAACAAGTGGATGTTTTTATTAAAAGCATCTGAGTCAAATTTTGATATACATGAAAAATTCACGAAATTACGAATTTAAATGTTATGATCAATATCAAGAATACATGCGTAAAACAAATACAAGTAGCGATGGTACTTATCTCAGCTAGTTAACAAAATAATGAACAGTTTATTCAAAAGAGAGAGAGGGAGGGAGACAACTACTACAGAGAGAAGAAACTCAACAACTTATGACGAAGACAATAATTGACTCACATCAAAAACTAACAATAATAAATCAAAGATTTGTGAGTTGATTTCTGTCAACGAAAAACACAGAATAATGCTAGACGCAATGGCTGGAAAATGTTTAAAAAGTTATTTTAAAGGAAGGTGGCAGTAGAAGAAAATAACAGTCATTGAAGAAAGACCAACATTATAGTGTAGTTAATCATTTTAAAATACAAACATGGAAAAAACAAATCATACAGAACAGGATTATACAATTGAAATGAAAATAAACACATAATCAACTTTTATCCCTCTCACTGGTTTGATACGAATATAGAACAGGATATTGATCTTTATTAAAAAAAAAGAGTAAATAAAAAGATATCTATTCTCAAAAACGCCAAAAAACAAATGAGGTCATAATTAAGATAAGTGGATAGCATGAGGATAAATCTTTTCTTGATTTTTAATTTTAATGATATTGAAATCTTATGAGCTGTATGAATATTGTGTGTGAATGAACGTTAAGTGAATTCATTCATCATTCAGTTGAAAATAGATTACATGATGACAGATTAAATTGATTCGAATATTGGAACGTTGACAAACTATAAGCATAGACATAAGTGTATAATATTTCTTTGTTTAAAATTCATTTAATCATACTTCTAATATATATTCAGGGTTTACATAGGAAAAACCAGAAAATTCAGTTTGATCCAAATTCATTATGAATAATTTATCTGTTGGAGTTAGTTTAGGCGGTTCTTTAGTGAATTCTGAGTCAAAATTATTCACATCTCGTTTGTTTTTCTAAAATACAAATGGATACATAAAATGTAAATCATGCGATTTTGTTTAAGCTAAAATTATCTACCTTGAAATTGCAATAAAAATTATCTCACAATGTTACTTAGTTTTATCCAATTAATAAGTCATTCGTAAAACTTTATAAAGTATGATTATGATATCAGATAACGGAGTTTGTATGATTGAAAGCTTGGGAAGTAATAATGATTTGTATAAGCTAGATAAATAAACATTTTAATTGAGTGAGCAAAAGACACTTAACATTGGTTTCAGAAAGTGTGAGAATTCTTCAGAGATAAAAGGTTTACTGACTATTTTCAGTTTTGTATATATTTTGATTTGAAATTAATAACGTATCAGGTATTAATTAGTGTTGATATTTATTGACATGGTAAACTAGTAGCATATAAGCAGTTATTTTTATAAGAGTTTTACTAGTACTCAAGTTGTTCGTCAAACTGTCTTTCAACATCACATAATCTTAAGCTAAAAATATAAATCCGTAAATGAGAAACCATTCAATTATATTACAAATCCACAATTTATGTACCTAAGACATAACACACCTACTTTGAAGTTGTAAATATGTTTTAGAAAATAGAAGCCACAGAGAACAGTATCAAACAAACGATTAGTACTGTTAAAGTTCAGTACAAAGTTATATCATCTTTGTATACTTCTGTGCCTACTCTTAAGTAATTTTTCAAGATTATTAAGAATGCATGAATATTTCCCCGACAGTAAACGTCACTACAAATTCTTGACCTTGCTGATTAATCCTTATAATAAGATGAATACTTAACCTTCTTATAATCAAATATGTGATAATGCTTTGTTTAAATAGATGTATCATTAAATGACTGTCGTTTCATTGAACGTGTCGTTAACAAACTTAATATAATGAAGAGAAACTTCAGTTTAGTATAGTCAGCTTTTTTATTGATGTTCTGATATTGCATCAGTACCACTTGAGGCATTTGTTGTAAAGTATACACTGACTGACTACTGACTAGCAAATAATCTCATACTTGTTTGGTCTAATTCTTCATACCAAGTTGCAAAATAGCCATTGGTTTGAAACTTACTCAACATCGTATCCCCTAGGTTTTAATGTTATGTGGTGGCTGGATGCGTTTGGCGAAAATGCTCTTAAAGTTTGGAGACACATAAATTTACATTGAACACAAGAAGCCTTTTCAATCTAGCCTAAAATCAGTGATTTATAAAGTTATGTAAAAGAAGTCCTTGGGCTGAACTCAATTCTAATAATGAACACTTACAATGCGAGGTTTGAATGGTGGTTGAATTTCCAAATTTGACAGTTTATGCCAATCAATGTGACGATAAAATTGATGTTGCCGAATATCTTTTTCCCCATTCGGTCCCGACCCAAGCCGTTCATTAGGGTTTCGTATAAGTAACTAATGAAACAACGCGGATAAATACATCGCAATTAACTATCAAATAATAGTCAGGTGATAATTTTTACAAATCTGAAACATAAATATTTATCTCCCACACCAAAAAGATGTATTCCCCTCAACATATTCGTAGAGACAGAAATAAATTTTAATTGCCAAGATTCTTTGGTGTCTTTCAGCTACTGATAGTAAACTGCAATTACTAACCAAAAAAGGAAATTAAATTATCCTTTTTGAGAGGTCTGATCCGATTGTTGTACTGATGATTAAAGAGGAAAAGGAGTTAAATATCAAAAGTGTCATTTAAATAATGTTTACACTACTAGTGTGTTATGCAACTTAACTACAGGTTCAAATGCAACAGATTGAAGCGTCGCTTGTTATCAGAATAATAGATTGTAGTCCAGAGATGGTGAACTTTTTAAACTGACTATTCTGTAGCGTCTTAAGCCAATTAAATATCTACATTTCTCAATTATTATAGGCAAACAACAATCATTCAAAGCAAACAAAAGTATATTTACTTTCTTTTAATTGATGAGTCCAGAAAATTCGGTCTACAACTTTAAGTGAAAACTTTCTTTTCTTATCATTACATGGATATAAGTCTCAGAGATGTGAAACTTGTCAACAGTACACGAACAACTTATCCTGTTCTATAGATCAATAATAAGATTCAGTGTAACTATTTTTATTGCAATCGAGCCTCAACCTAATATATTTACATAAACGTAAAACAATTCTGAATTATGAATAGTGGAAAATTAGAATAATGCATGTATAACTAGTTTGAACTCCCTACTCCATTGGGAGTAACAGGCGTAAGTAAGTAAATAAGACTTATCCAAATGATCATTGGAGTTTCTACTAAATATGTATTTTTTCACAGAACCATAAAAAATCCCCATTCCAATCAGATATAATATACTTGGAATATTTATCAAACGGTATATAAATCCGGAAAACTGGTTGACCTGGTCGATAGCATTCGATCTGCACTAATAAGGACTTGACACACATGACATTGATCACCACCCAGTGATCAATCAATTGTGAGAACAAAACAAGTAACACATAGGTAAATCCTAAAGGATCTTTTAAATTGAACAGGTTAGTTTGGATATTTTTTTTCATTTTCAATCATTATTTACTTAATATCGTGATAGGTACAGATTGTAATAGCTCAATTTTATGATTTAAAAAAACTCTCAGCAATAAAGTTGTACAACAGTCTGTGCCTTTTCTGTCAGTACATATGTATATCGAAAGGTAACTGTCGACTTACACCACGGCATAGCATACAAGCTTCTCTAGACATATGTCGGGGATAAGCAACGTCTTGTGAAGCAATATTTCGAAATAACTCTTCTTCATCTTCACCATCGAATGGAGGCTAAAATCAGAACAAAATGATTACCTACATGATCACAATATTCACACAACACACTGATATTTGAGGATTATTTGATGCAGTTGACATAAGCTGTAAAAGTATCAAAATTCTTTAATTGACATATCTAATCAACTGTTAACTAATAAGCTGGGACTTTAGAGATTAAGCAGAGCAAAAGAAAATGGAATGTAGCAGTTAATAATAGAGACTGCATAACGCGAATTTAATTGCATTCCCACACGTATACTTTCTAGTCGTGCTCATACATATTTCCAAATGATTTTCTGATAGTTGGTTACGTTTGAAAACGACTTCACACTAGCATGATCAAGTAACGCGTTACACTATATTTGGGATCAATCAATCAATCAAATTCTGGGACCCATTTGTTTTGGAAATTCAGATAACTATTCAAAATGATTTGAAGACGTAACTACCTTGTCAGCCAGTTATCTGATGGTACAAAAGTTTGAACCCGTCATCTGTTGAAATGATACACTTAAATGACGAATGTAAACTGATATGTTGACAAACGTGACAATTCATTGTGGTAGTAGACGTTATTGACAGGAAACCAACCGAACAATCAACCGAAATGACATATATCTTTCTATAACCAAACATCATTGAAAGTTAACTGAGAGGAAAGGGTATACGCTTTGAATCAAGTAACTTAACTATTCATTTTAAAGTTTGCACTTACTTAATATGTAGGTGTTTCCGAATCACAAAGATTCATTTTAATAATACCCTAAACATTTTTAGGAGTAATTCTCAACTGCACAATTTCTTATTCAACTAAGTAGCAAGATCCATGGCTCTGATAGCTATTGTTTGAAAAATAACTTTTCATGCTTTTTCGAATTTCCTTCTACACGGAATGTTCATGTTTTGATGACACTCAAATAGGCTGAAAATCTATTCATTTTAAAGTCATTTAAAGTGAAAAATTTGGGAAAGAAACTACTGGTTTATAGATAGAAAAGTTCATTCAAAAAGAAAATCTAAACAACGAGCAGAGCCATTAAATACGAAAATATTTCAAGATTTAAGCACTGTTGAAAAGTTGGTTCGGGTCACTGAGATCCTACATATACGTTACGATATGTGTGTAAACCAATAAATGAAATTTACTGGAATATGGACCGGTGATTGTGAGAAAGAATTGCACCATACTTACCAGACCTGCAAGCATTTCATAAACTAATACACCAAACGACCACCAATCCACAGATTTCCCATATAGTTCGTACCTAATAATCTTGTAAAGAAATAAGGACATGTACCACATCACATGATGATAAATTATCAAATATGACATGTTTTACAATGTGTTTAATTGCTAGAACTTAATATTCACATAATACAGTTTGTATATCAAAAAATTTTGAACCATGACAATCACTTGTCAAACATATACAGCAACTAATTCAAAAAACTACCGTTAAAGTTAAATGAGAATGCAGCCTGCAATTTTAAATATTTTTTTTAACAACTGACTAAAATTTATCTCTGTATTTAGTAACCGGCGCACATTAAGTCTAATGTTTGCATAACTGTGTTCACTTATTATATATGTCCATCATGGGTCAATGAGAAATATATCTTACCCGAAGTAACGTTAAGCAAAGCTGATACATAGGGTGAAATATTTTCGACTTTCATAAAAATAAATTATTTTGACTGCTTGCCTATCGATCTTAGTTAGAAATATAACAACTTGATTAAAGTAATCCATAATCATTTTATGATGACACTTATTTTATTATTAGAAACAGCCCATCAATCAAGTGAAATATATACTTGCTTTTTAATCAATGATGCACTCCCAGTTTTATATAAGCAAATGTTATAAGTTCCTTGACAATATGAGATAGTTGTCAAGTAATAACGATAGTTCAACTATATTAACTTAGACTTGTACTTCAACCTTTCCGATGCGTATATTCACTCCCAGAATGTTAATATGGTCACAACGTTTTAGCAAATCATCTACAATATCAATAATTATATTTTTAATTATTATAACTAACCAGTTGACAGCCTTTATAGCCGTGTTTAAAAATAAGTGCTCAACAGTAAATAAATTATAGAACAATGATCACAGACACAATATCGAAATACAGGTTACTCAAAGAAATATGTCTTTGAATATATGTAAATTATAAAACACATATGTATTAGTAACGTTGCTACTGCCACAATTTACTGTTGTAATTAGTTTCTGGAACAATACTGATGGGTACAAAGATTAATCCTCCAATGTTACAACAATCTGATCCAAAAGCATGTAGCAGAAACTGTAATTATGATTTAATGGGAACATTGAAAATCCAAACACTAATGACTAAGCCACACAAATAACAAACGCTCACGCACATTCAGTCCCTTTTCTGATATTTTCAATAAACCAAAATGAATAAACAGAACTAGAGAAATTCATTCATAAATAAACTTGAAAATCGACACGTGGACAAGGAATTAGGAGTGGATTAATATTTCTAGTTACGGAATGCTAACCACCCGACTCCTTAGTTTTCTGTCTCATTCAGAAGTAACACAGTTTAGATTTTAAATGTATAATTTCTGACAAGCGCTGAGCTGCATTTACTTTAAGATGCTGAACCGAAAACTGTTATCATGTTCACTACAAGTATACATTGAAATACAGTGAACGTTTGCTTATATGTGTACAAACAACACGCAATCACTTCGTTCGAGTATAACCGGTAATCTGTATTACGTGTTAGCAACAAGGCCATAAGTAAGCTATTAGTTAGCCGGCGAACAAATCTGTAAGCTTAAATGATATTAAAAACAAAAATACATGACCTTTGTGTAAAAACGGATTGTTGCAAACAGCTGAAGAAAATATTTTTTTCAGTTTTCCTAGTAAACGTGGAAATCATGTAAAAACGATAAGTTGAGGTAAAACACTAACGAATGATAAAAACATTAGTAAACGGAAAACATTATTCCAATCCAAAATGTAAAAAACTAATAATAAACAAATATCAAGATAAGGAACATTTTGTCTGATACAGCTACTTGTTCGACAGAAAAACATCTACTAGGTTTGGCAGAATTCCTTTTTGTAGAACCTAAAATTTGTTAACATCACCAAAATAAACACAAAATAAACTGCCATGGTTGATCACCTAAAATGTTGTAAAAGACATGTTTCAATAGAAAAAAAGTTAAATAAAAGCCTTATGCTAAACGTTTTGCTTTTGGTTAACTTTGACAAAGCAAAGCCTTCATATTTCCCGCAAACTCATTAGGACGATTGAAATTTTACTCTACCTGAATATTTGCTTAAAGCTCGAGTTGAAATCTATAATGAACAAAAATCTAATCTTGACCGAAAGTGTACATAATGAGTATGAGAATTTGATGTTCCGTAGGTGTTTAAAATCAACAAAGCGAAATCTAAATCCCTGTTGTGTGGATGAACAGAAAGTTGATTCTTAATTTAAAATTGTTTCTTATGATCCAAACATCTTGTAATATAGAGTATGTAAAAATAAGAACAGACAGAAAAATTATTTTTTCATAATTATCTATCCAAAGGACACGGGTCACATCCCGAACAAATTTTAAAATACAAGTTAGAGGTTAGGACAATCATGAATTAACAAACATGCAGATCAAAACCTCCACCATCAAACTTACTGCCGGTGGTTATTTGTTGATCGCATACAACTCTCTGCTAACCATCAAACGAAGCTTAAAATTAAAAATGGTGAAAAATGAGATTTTAGATGTTATGAGAAAAATAATTCCAGAAATCAGAACACGGTATTTAGCTATGCATGTTTATTTGTCAGTGAGGATTGATAACCGTCAAGTATAACTATATCAACCACTTATTGCTCAGTGGTTAGATAACTTGAATTTAGTAAGACTGTAGAAACTAAATGATCATGAGCTAATTCGTGCATTAAAAGTCACTTTCATTTTCAGTAAATTAAGTAACTGAAAAGTAAGTTCTCACTTTCAACTTTTAATCTTCCTGTTTGAGCTGTAATTGAAACCTTCATCCGGCCTCTCCTTTCTGTATGATCCATTCCACAAAGTCGTGGAGCCTTAGATGTACATCTCTTATGAACATTTAGATTGCAGTCTGTAACGTGACAAAGAAAATTTGACAAACTGTATAGAAACAACAAATAGGCTAGTAAAATTCAATACTTAAAATACATTAAACCTCTATTCAAAATAGCAATCATAGTTTCCACAACTGCCATCAGCAGTTCTTCAGAGTTTTATATGCCACAGATGATTGAATATGATAATATTAAACGGATAACACAAAAATGTTACACAGTCTTAAATATGCAACTTAAGTGAGACAGTATAATAATTACCAGTAATTGTCTTCCCTATCAAGAAATTTGTGCTTATTTATTCGACAACTATCTTTAAAGTCTGCTTTTTTGCGTAGCTTGATTTGTATTACAATCTATCACACTTAAAAAATTTTTGATTCTACTATCTTGATATATATAATAGTTTGAGTTTCACATGTGCATAACTTCGTAATAAGTGAACAAGTTAGTAGATATATCAACTTAGTAGTTCGATGTATGGCCTGTTGTAACATAAAAGGAAAAACAGTGTCCCAATTTCAGGATAACCATCAACACATATAAATCTAGCTGACGGGTCTCAAGTGGGATGAAACATGCATCCTAGATTTCATCGCCAGTGACAATTTGATTTTTAATTTTCTACCGTAATTCCCTATTCCCCAGTCCTTTCGCATTTTTGGTTAACAACCACATCAGATGCATATGACTTGAAATCTACAAAGCTTTTATGCACGATCGATGATTCTCTGGTTCTTTAAATTCCTAACTAAAACTCACTCGATGAGACACCTCTCATTTGCACAACATGCCTCGGTAATTCCACTACATACACTGCTGTTAGGTAATATTGTTGGTATGTCATCCGTTTACTCAACCATGCTTATCAATCTAGGATGATGAATCAGGTGAGTTACAATGAATCAGTTGTATCCATTTTAATATTAATACATAAAATATCGGAATACTCCGAAAGATTATGAACTACAAAAGCAAGAAAAGTTTTAAGTACTCAGTTTTTGGGTCCAGGTTAACCTTGCTTTTGATTACTTTTTAAGTTATTCTAGTAAGATTGAACACATTTTAACTAGAAAAGCTTTTGGAAGCTATTGCAGAAGTTCTTTTGCTGTAACTGTTCTTTTATTTGTGATATATTTGTGTTCGTTATCATATAGCAATCTAAGATTTAAGTCAGTTTAATACAGTTAAGAATTAATTTCTACGGTTACATTTTTCTGAGACAATGATAACTATGAATTCGTAGTTATACGATACAAAAGGAAAGGCTACATAACTAAATAAACTAACATGAATTCTAACGTAACATTTCAGTTAGGCATCTAATACGAGAATACTGGAGTTTTGCGCAAACATTATATGAGCTCTAACTTTGAATGAAATTGATATCATCCGCATTTAATTCAATTCTATTAAAAGCGTTAGTATAAAATACCAAATCTAATACTTGGGGCAGAAAACACATCATTATTTTTAATATACAGCAATGGTAAAGTTCAGATCAAACAACAAATAATTTGGAGCTAAACACAATTGTCAGATATGATGATGTTGTGAAAGCTTTAGAAGATTACTAAATAGTAAGCATTGCTCAGTAGATTAAAAAATAAATTTATTCAGAATGCATACTGAAGACACTCTCTCCAAACGGAATCAGGTGAATGATTGAAAAACGTAAAGTTATTTACCAAATGTGCATTTAAAGCTACTTAGGATACGACTACTCACTTTTACATTTATATCCTTGATGTAGCAAACCATAAAGAAGAGAACCACAGTGATCACAAAATGTTGGGCTTGTGTACGTGTACAGCACGAAATCGTGTTTTTTCTCAAACTAGGTAATTAAATAAATTCATATTGTTTCAAACATACGTCTGTATCTGGCCCAGTATCTGCGCCAGGGCATTGGAAAGTAACTAGTTGATAACACCTTTTATGAACCGTAAACAGACACGTTTTGCACTGAACACCTTGTATACCAAGGCCCCTAAAATAGATCTGATGTATATTTATTCCCAAAAAATACCATATGAAGTCTTTACAATGCCCGCAAAATGTGAACTGCTTTAAGAATCGTGCAACAAACTCATGACCCTTCACATATGAGACGTTCTTTTCTCGCAATGCACCTCGCCTTGCAAAACGAATAGGATTTTGAACTGATGAACAACCACTAGAAGTAAGCTTATTAGCCTCTGCAACCGATGCGGAGAGAGATGACATTTAGCAAGAATTCGAAATTGTTCTCATATTCTAACCTTCGAAACGACAAGGTAAAACACCAGATTTCCTTAGAGCTAAGATATAGTAGATTTCGTCTTGAAGTATCAACGAAGAAGGATCATCTGTATTTTTACTTAAACTTTATGTTCTTAACTCAAGAGGTGATTAAAACTAGTTAGAATAAACATTCATTATTTGATAACAGACGGCACGATCTATTTCGGCATCAGTTTAAGAAAAACAACATGCTGAGTGACCTACTGATAGTCTACCAGTTCGTTTGATTTCAGTTATTTGTTGAGGTAAAGAGTTAGGCTCGCTGATGATTTGATAATACAGTCAGAAGTAACGTGAGAAGTAATTAAATATGGGACTGTTAACATTTTCGAGTGTCTTCGTAAATGCTCCGTTTTCGAATCCAAGAAGAATTGCGATACGTGGAACACAAAATTATCATTGGTTGGTTTAAAAGTTATGTTCAAGTTTTTTCTAGTTCGATATGACTGGGGGAATATATCTAGTTTACCTAGTATCTCGTTATACATCGACTCTGTGATTCTGAGAATAAATTTAAATGTTAAATGTTGAGGAGGACTCGAGACAATGATCAAGTTATTCAGACATATATGTCAGTACTTTTTGAAATATATATCCACTGTTCGTTCGTCCTAAGACCGAGTAAACAGCCAGACTTAGCCTAAAAGAGACAGAGAGCTGCTCGATTGACAGTGACACCCAGATCAATTTATGCCTAAACTACAAGTAGTTAAACATTACTCCTTATTGTACGTCTGTACCTTATTTACTAATTTAAACTACAATACGCTTAAAAGTATTCGCATGCGAAGAACAAATTCTAGACTATTCAGATAACTTCTATCACTAACACGCTCTGAACCGTCACCTTCATTTCTTACTTCTCCCCCTCCCACATCCTGATAATCTCAGTATACAATGAGACCTATGGTGATAGATCCTGTGGCGGAATGAATGTTGGAAGATCTAAAACGCTCAAAGCCCTTTCCCGAGTATTTTTATTTATGTCTCCATTGTATATTTAGCAGATATCTATACTGTTACATTCTAAAATCTCACTTATTATAAATTTCCATTAAACCTATTAACTGATGTCATACTATTTACTATTTCTCAATTATTGTTAGCTGATTATGTACCGTTTACTCCATCGTCTACCATACATGGTATAATTGTGCTCAAAGTATGATTGCTTATTTGACATACTGTAGGGTCACTATTATGTCACTGAGCCCCAGCTAAATCATCCGGCACTTGGGTCACTGAAAATCGAACGGATCATTGATCCATGTAAAGGTCAAGGATAACCAACGCACATCAGTTGACTGCATGCCATGGACTGACGCATGAGGTGGTGGTTTCTCTATCTTCTCTGTACTCATTCTTACCAATACATTTTCACAATAACGTCCACTGTGTTGTACGGTATTCAGAGTAGCCATAGTACTTTGATACGTTGAAGGGTGATTTTAAACGCAACTCAATTTCGTAAATGTGGCATTCAGCTTAGTAACCAATCAGAATGAGGCGGGAATTATTATATCCGCCATCTTTATATGCAATGGCGGTCGGCTTTCTTCGTTCTGTGCTTTTTTCACCTACTTCTTTTGTGTAGTTACAGAATTTAATGTTTCAGTGTGCTAAAATGCACAAGTTAATGTAATACTCTGAATGTTAGAGCAAAATATTTCCTCATTTTGCTTTGTTTTCTGGAATTTGGCTGCTGCTACTGAGGTCAATGTATTTCTTCAACCATGCTGGCTAGTCTTATCGGTTTTGTTTTGACTTATTTTCTAAATATCCAAAGCCGAAGCTCATTTTTTAGCTAGAATAATTGTTGCTGCCACCTGTGACTAACTGCCCGCATGTTCGTTCCTAACTGTCCTTTATGATTTTATCGGTAAAATGAAACGAAACAATCTCCGGTTTTCAATTTTCTTCAGTACTATGGACAACACTATCCCACCAACGAGTCAAACTAATGCAGAGAGCCCAGCGATAGGGGATATCAGTATTGTTTTCGAAAGGACTCAGACTTCCGATGACCATAAATGAATTCACAGATGCTACCAATCTATTACAAAGGGTTTGTTATGAAAAATATGCCATATAGCAGTAATAGAGGGGTTGTACTCATTAAGTCGTGCGTTAAAGCATGCTTAACATTGAAAAGCCGGAAGTCTGCTATCAGTGTGTAGTGTATGTTTGCTGTTTTGGCCATAAAACGAAGCCGAAAGGTCATGATCAGGGAGCATAAAGGTAATTAACTGTTATTAAGCTAACTGTTTTCACCACTCGCAAATCTGTGATTTTTTACGGTATGACGTCAACCAGTGCCTAATATATTCACCCTTACAATGAAAAGTACCTGCAAATTTTCACTTTCATATTCGAATTATTTTTGGACAACTGTAGTAATATTCTGACTAAAGAGCCAAGCGAGTGCGTAAACTAATGTAAGGTACCATACGGGGTGCCTTCGAGTTACTCGTGTTCCATTTTATGGGTAGAGGCTTTACTTGCTTGTCATATGACATTTGAAGGAGAAGTTATAAGATTAGACGCATGGACGGTTAGGATCTGTAACGCGTGTCCATCCATCAGCTGCCGTGACAACTCATGGTGGCTAGAATAAATTGTGAGAGGACCTGAGTCTGTAGGTTTCCCAAGAAAATGATGAAGATACGCACCAAATCACCTTATGAAAAGCACCTCCAATCACTTAACCTCTACTCACTAGAGTATAGGCGTCTTAGAGGTGACCTAATGGCTTACAGTATCCTTAACACTTCTGGACATCCTCTCAAACACCTACCTAAGCTTAGTTCCAACCCTAACCTGAGGGGTAACACCCAGAAACTGCAGACACAACATAGCAGAACGGACTGTAGACACAACTTCTACTCCTTAGGAGTTGTCAAATGCCGGAATTCCATGCCCGCTGAGCTAGTCCAAGCGACATCCCAGGAGTCCTTTACGAGGCAACTTGATCTATTCTTAAGGATAGTATCATACTATGATTTGCCAATTTCTGTTTCCTCTTTTATTGTTAACATACCTAGGTTCCTGCCTGGAGGTTTCGATGATCCCCTGCTTCCAGACACGGAAGCCTGAACACATGAATTAGGTGCTGAGAGGCTCGTGTATCACAAGATTTTTGCAACGATTAAGTAAATAAAACAAAGCAGCATTAGAGTCAAAAATTTATTCTAGAATTTTCATTAAGAATCGAATATCAAACAAAGGTTTAAACCATGTTCCCGTTCAAAAGTCGCACTGATAATGTTAAGCTGCAGTTTTTGTTGTTTTTTTTCCAAACGAAAGGGTGAAAGAAGTAACTCAAAAAGTACTGGAAGTGTTTGTGAGACTAAAATTAACGTCCAGCATTGTTTTTATAATCTGCTGTTAGTCGGGTCTCTCGTAAACAGTTCCATAAGGCCATAGTTCTAAGGGCGAGACAGTTTTTAGGATCTGTGAAGACTCAATCCTGTTGCATTCTAAATGAAAAAATAGTGATGAATTTAGTCAAAAATGTGGAATAGAAAAATAACCAAATACATGTTTTTAACAAAGAATTTATGCAGTTGTGAGTTACCTTGAGTTCATAAATACTAGAGAAGGTCAGCTAATATTAATTATGCAAAGCATAACATGAGCTTAGTACCGTATTGTGATGCTTTTATTATTTTGCTCCCATTTAAGTATTCCCATGCATCTGCGTCTAATTTAACGGGAAGACATGCAAGCAGAGTTAATGTCTGATAAACTAAACGTCCCAGTTGTCAAAAAGATTCTTAACATTTGTCCACAGCCAGCTGCATTTAATTGAGACACAGAAAACTCATCTTCTAACACTGTATACTGCTGTTTTAGGGGCAACTAAAAGCTCTGACGCTTAACTATCTTGCTACCGCTAGGGAAATTGTTTAGTGACAGTGATCATGAAATATGGTCAGTGATAAATGTACAGTCTGGAAATAAACACCAAACGTACTTAAAGCTATCTTATAATGTATGACAGCAACAGCATCAAAGGCACGTTTTTTCTTATTTTTAATCAGACTGATCTGAATCAGTACACTCATTAGAAACAGACAACTCTACTTACTAAACTGATCTGTTTCGTTACAGGCTTCGAAAACTATACTTAAGAATACCATAATCCTTTCAACTAAACTGAATTATACGACAACCAAGAATACTAAACTAAGCAAGTGTCATATTTATTGTTTCATTTGCACGGACATGTTGCTCAAAGTAGTTGAATGGACATAATTAAGCCGATAAAACCAAAACACGAAATATAGGCAAGTTGAACTTACCTAACAGAAGACGAGGTATATATATATATATTGCTTTCCGACTGAAGACAACAGTCAGTTGTTCATAAAAACATAGTTTACATTACAACAAATTTTACTTCAGTAACATTATGCACTGGCGGTCTTACTGGAAACAATCAACTATGTGAATAAACTCACTATAACTTGAGATATCATCCCAGCGTGTAATGACCGTACATTGTAACGCAGTTAGACGTGGCGAATAAAAATTACAACCAGAGCAAAAGTAACAGCATAATCTAGTTATTTAATTAAAAATACTAAATCTGTGGTTACTTGAACGCACAAATAACCGTTATTACACTGGGCGATACATTAAGTTTACATGGTTGCGTTGCGGATAAATTCACCCTACGTTGAAGGGGTAATTCACGTTAAATGCTGACCACGAGGTGTGACTTCTAAGTTAGTTGATTCGTCATGCCATTCCCGTCTAACTTGAGTAGACCTCCAATCATTCGACACAGACCATCTACGTTGATGATCTACAATACTGTTTGGTCTAAGATGTTCATTGTTTCATCTCTCCTTTTTCTCGTTACCCGTTGATTTGATTATGAAGACCTCCACATCTCAGCAGAAGCGTGGACTTCAGCGGATACATCAGGCATTGGATTTAGACCGTGTAAGTGAACTAGACATACTACCACATACACACTAACAAATGAGGACGAATACAATCACCATGGAAGCGACTTCTGCAGCAGAAACCCGGAAGTTCACAAAGGAAACACCGAAATTCTGA